CAGAGGGTGAGGGTCCCCGTCCCATCTCTGGGAGGGGGCAGAGCACACCTGCTCTCTGGAGCACGCACGGCCCCCTCTGCTGGCGCCCGGTCCAGCTCTCGGCTGAGTGAGACGGGAGTTCAGCTGGGCATGACTCACCCCTGTTCCTGGAACTGTCTGAAGGCGGGGAGGATGCTGTGGGGAGGCTCTAACTGTATCATCTGGGCTGGGGCCGGTAGCAGATGGTCCTTATAAAAAAAAAAAAAGTACTTCCATGTGGGCTTAAAATAGCGCTGCACTCACCATCAGCTGAATGGGGAAATGTAGGAGCCAGTCATTCACGTGGGAGTGGGCACTGCAGGCTGAAGGTTGGGACAAGGGCCCCAGACACCAGCCACAGCGGCCAAGCCCAAGAGGCGGAGAGGAGACACCTTGGCACCCACTTCATGCCTGGCCTAGACCAGGCAGGTGGCAGACACGGCCCCATGCAGGCCCTGCGACAAGGACGATGATGGCGATGAAGCCACAGGATCCTCCCAGTTGCTGCCCAGCAGCCGGCTGGGAAACTGAGACACCACAACAGTCGTCCACCCCCCTGCCAGCCTCTCAGTCAGTCCAGGAAAAGCCTTCCTCCAACCTGGAAGCTGGGAAGATGGGAATACCTAATGGGTGGAGGAAACGGTCTTGGTTCTGAGTCAATCTTCCTCCTTTCCCAGGCCCTACAGGAACGGAGGACTGAGGCCTGGAGCCCGTGGAGTCTGCCCCTCACCGATGTGTGCCCTGGGGCATGTCACTTCCTCATTCTGTACCTCAGTTTCCTTATGTGTAAATGGACAGAAAGCCCCACCTTCTCTAGGGCGGAGCCCAGCACAGGAAGGTGCTCTGTGGAGGCACCCACAGCCCTGGCTGCGCTGTCCCTGAGGCCCGAGAGAGCCCTGGGCCCCTTCTTCCCTTTTCAAAACATCCTTGCTTCTTTTCTTAAACCATGCTGCACTTTGGCAAGCAGAGGTGACCGCTCTGAAAGTCGGGATCTGGAGAGTCACCTCTCACTGCTGCTGTGTTGATGTGGAGGGAAGGGGGTTGACAGGAGGGAAGCTGTGGCAGGGACAGCAGGTGTCCGGCCCAGCAGCGAGGGCTCCCAGGCACCGCAGGCCACCTGGCCTCCCTCCTGTCGCCTGCCCTGCTGGGGCTCAGCAAGTCAGGGCCCGGGTCCCTGTGGCCTTTGAGGGGTGGAGACCCTCCAGCTGCAGGGCAGGCTCAGGGACTCTAAGGGAGCCGCAGGCCCTCAGTCGCTCGCCCAAGGCAGAAGGTGTGTCAGAGGCGGAGGGTTTCCACAGAGCCCACCCTGGTGCCTCTTTGCAGACAAGCCAAGCGGTTTGCTGGTAAATGTCGAACAACCCGCTTCACTGGGGCCTGGGGAGGGGATAAAAAATCGCTCTGATCTGTAGCGGGTGCCAATTTCCACAGTATAAACACCCCCAATGGAGTCAGTTTCATCCCTACACGTGGAGGTGGCAAGAGGCCACCAATGGGCTGCCATGAGCACCTACACCCAGCACAGGGCCGGAGGGAGGGGGTCAGCAATAATGTGACCACCTTCCCCACACAGGTCACGTCTGCCAGGGGCATAGACGCATGGCCTTGACCCAGGCTCAACAGAAAGGCGGCAGAGCCAAAAGGCCACGGAGTTCAGACCCGGAGCCTTGAGTGAGGCTCGGGTTGACCGCGCAGTGAGTCCAGCTCCAGTTTCTGGCGGTGTGACCTGGGGCAAGTGCATCAGTGCTCTGGGCCTCACATGTAGAGTGAGGATGACAGCAGTGTTTGTGCTTTCACCTGGGTGGCTGTTCTGCAGCAATGACCTGCAGTCACGAGCTGTTCTTTTTCAGGGATGTCACTGAGGGACAACACATCTGTCAGGAAGATGCTAAAACCTCTCCCTCCCGAAATCATGGAGAAGAACCTTCCCTCAACCCCGCCACCTCTCCAGCGACCACTTCACCTCTACTCCCTCACAGGCGTCTCCAAAGCTTTCCAGGCCGTCCCCACTTCGTCTCCTCCGCCCACTCAGCCCACGCTGCCACGAGGCCTCTGTCCCACCGCTCCTCTGAGGCGGCTCTTGCCAATGGCACCAACAACCCCATTTTCTAAATCCAGAGACGCTGCTGTCATCCTCAGACTCTCCGTCCCAGCAGCCAGAAGCCCCGCTGCCCAAGCAACTTTGGAAACATGTGTGTCCCCAGTGTGTGTGATGGGTCCATCCCCTCTCCCTCCCCTCCATCCCTCCTCTTTCTGTCTCTTTGGGAAGATAGGGCCCAGGGCACTCTGAGGGGAATTGTGCAGCACCCATCTAGGGGCAGGAGGGGACATGGAGGAAGGAGGAGGACACTGTAGAACCAGAGTCCTCTACTTGTCTGTTAAAACTGGGGTGCCTCAAGTCATAGGGGGAGCCACGTCTTCTCCTGCTGAACCCTCTCTCAAGGCTAGCCCCCGGCTCCAGCGGCCTCCACTGCTGCCTGCACCAGCGTCTCGCAGTGGTACCTTCAGCCCTGACCTCACCTCTGACCCCTGGACAGCTTCACAACCAGAGATCTATTCCACAACCCCCGACATGATGCCTCAGAGGTCCCCAGGTTCAGCGTACCCGGAACTGTGCTCACCACCCGCTCCCAGGCCCGTGGTAACAACGCTACTGTCAGCCACGTGTCTTCCCACCTTCCTCTCTGTGGCCCCCAGGTCTACCCCACCCCAAAGCCTGCCTCCCCCTCAAGGCCTACACGCGCCTCCGTGTGTCTTGTCTTCAACCTCATCCTCCCTCCCCCACCCCATCCAAGCAAGTGCCATCCCTCGGGTGCCAGGGCCGTGGCCTGGGGCTGGGCCCTCTGCTCCACACTTGCCCTCCCGTCTGCTTCCACATCCTTCCAGGGTGATCTGCCCAAATCTGCGATGTGGTCAGGTCCCCTGTGTGCCAAAAACTCCCGGGGGGGCAGACCAGGACCCTGGTGCAGCTTCTCTGGGCCTGTGTGCCTGGCCTTGGCCTGTCTCTCCTAATTCCTCTCCCACCATCCCCTGGCTTTCTGCTGTCCTCATATGGGCCACTTCCTCCCTCCCAGGGTCTAGGGGATGTCGTTGTCTCTGTCTGGAACAATCTTCACCTTATCATCGCCCCCACCCCACCTCTGCAACCCAATGGCCTGACTTCGGCCGCTCATGGCTTCCGCGGGGAAGCCCTCCTCCTCCCTCCATGTCACCTCCCGCCCCTAGACAGGTGCTGTGCCATTCCCCCTCTGAGCGCCCTGAGCCCTGTCTTCACAGCAGTTTACAGGGCTGGTAACCACTCACTTGTCTGTGTGGCTAATTACTGCTTATCTCTACCACTAGACTACTCATCCCCGAAGGTGTAACTGACTGGCATTTCCAGAGGTGTAATTCTTCACCATGCGGTGCTGTCTGTGAACCACAGGAGGGTCCCCAGCCCTCACCCACTCGATGCCAGTGGCTCTCTCAGGCCTTTCCACAGCCCCAGGAGGCTGGACCAACCCAGGAAGCCCTGCATCCCTAGGAGCAAAGAGCTGCAGGGACAGGAGCTGTGTCTGGGTTTGTTCAACCCCAGTGCTTTAAGGTCCCGGCACAGAGTAGATGTTCAGAAAACGCGTGTTGAATTCATGAATGGGCAGCTCCTACCTGCAGGCTTCTGCACAACTGTTCAGACTGCCTTTCCGGGTGCTACCGGGATTTCACCTTTGGGGGTCCAGGAAGCCGTTGTGCCTGTAGGAGGTGGTCCTCAGCCCCCTGGAGTGGGAACATAGCATGGTATCTGCGCAGAGCTCCATCAGACAGGACCCAAAGCCAGCACCTCCCTCATCTCGCCTGAATTTCAGCAGTTCAGGCACAGGTGACCAAACAGACTCTCCCTGGGCCACATGGCAAGGGGCAGGTGCTACTGGTCTCTCTCTCTGGTGGTCAGGACCTCAGTTCTCCCTGCCTTCTGCCAACCTTCTATGTAGACCTGCCCAGGGAGCTGCCTGCCCCAGAAAATACAAACTTGGAAGCACGCGCCAGGCCATCAGTACAGAGCGGGCACAGCTGTGGGAGGGTGCGTGCGGCCCAAGGTCCCAGCACCAAGTTCGGATTCCTGCTTCAACTTTCCTGTGGCTTTCAGCTCTCCTCTTCCTCTCACAGTGATCAGCCTCTTTTCCCATCATCCAAATTCCAACCACTTCAGCGGACCTTCACCAAACTAGCAAGAATTAACATTTGGCTCCATTCAACAAACATTCATGCAACAAACATCTACCAAGCACTCACTTTGCATTAAGGGAGCCACCCTAGAGCCAGTCTTCACAACCCCTTCAGGGCCCTGTGCATTTTCCCGAGGCCTCTGAGTGTGTCATTTCTGTTCACTCCATCCAGACTAACAAGACGGCTCTGCCCTTGTTCTGTGTCTGGACGATCTAGGCCTTCTCACGCAGCAACCAGGATTTTTACCTGGCCCCGGCCTCCGCGGGCTCACAGCTGATGCCGTCTCTCGTCATCTGCCCACTTTAACCCCACCCTCTCCTTCTGCATCCAGCATTCTGCCAAGCCTTCCTGGAGGCCCTTCAGAGCTGATGATATGGTTTGGATGCGTGTCCCCTCCAAACCTCGTGTTGAAATGTGATCCCCAATGCTGGAGGTGGGGCGTGCAGGGCGGGTGTTGTTTCATGGGGGCGGAGCCCTCATTAATGGCTTGATACCCTTCCAGTGGTAATGTGTTACCACAAGATCTGCTGGTTAAAGAGTCTGGGACCTTCCTGGCTCTCTCATTCCCTGTCTCACCATGCGACACACCCACTCCCATTCACCTTCTGCCATGAGTGGCAGCTTCCTGTTGTTCTCCCCGAAAGCAGGTATGCCAGCTCCACGCCTGTACAGCCAACAGAACCACAAGCCAAATAAACTTCTTTTCTTTGTAAATTACCCAGCATCAGGTCTTCCCTTACAGCAATGCAAAATGGATTAACACAGTTGGGAAGAGAAGAAGTTACACATCTGAGACCCTCAGAGAACAAATTCGAGAGTTTTTAATGGAGAACCAGAGTGTGCGGTGCCAAGGGGAGGCCAGCATACGCTGGGGCAGTGAGGAGGAGTTGTAGGCGGGATGGGTGTTTGGCTGGCCTTCAAGGGTAGACAACAGGAATTGTGGTGATGGGAGCTGATACTGAGTGCTAACACGAGGCTAAGCCATGTGCAGGGGCTATCTCATTTAATCCTCACAGTCACCCCATGACACACACGTTATTCTTATTCCCGTTTTACAGGTCAAGGGCCTGAGGCACACAGAATGAACGAATTTACTTAAGGTTGTGCAGCTTGCAAATGGCAGAGCCAGGATTTGCACACCAGCATCTGGCTTCGGGGCCAGTGCTCTTAAACACCACCAGGAGAGTTTGGGTGTGTCGGCTCTCTACAGCTGTGCAAAAAATTTCCCCAAGTTCAGCAGCCTAACGCAACACATATAGATGACGTCCATCTCCATCCGGATTAACAAGACGGCTCTGCCCTTGTTCTGTGTCTGGATGATCTAGGCCTTCTCACGCAGCACCCAGGACCTCCACCTGGCCCTGGCCTCCGCGGGCTCACAGCTGATGCCGTCTCTCGTCATCTGCCCACTTTAACCCCACCCTCTCATTCTGCATCAAGCAGTCCGCCAAGCCTTCCTGGAGGCCCTTCAGAGCTGGTGATACGGGTCCCTGTGGGTCAGGGAGTGGCCAGCTGGTCCCCCTGGCTCCGGGCCTTTCACAAGCTGCAATCAAGGTGACAGCCTGTGGTCACCTCAGGGCCTGATTGGGGGAGGATTTGGTCCTCTTCTCACTCACATGGCTGTTGGCTGGAGACCTCCATTCCTTATGTGGGGGCCTGTCCCAAGGACAGTGACTTTCTTCAGGGTGAGTGACCAAGCAAAGGCATCTGTGGCAGTGAGCGAGACATGAGGCCTCATCACAGAAGCAACATCTTGTCACCTTTGCTGTAGTCCATGGTCTGCCCATGAGAAGTGAGTCCTGAGATCCAGCCCCATATTCCAGGGGTGGGCACAATGAGGGGCCATGCTGGCAGCAGTGGGGGGCACCAGGTGGTCCTGGAGGCTGCAGGCCACACGGGCCTGTGGAGGAGCTGGGGTCACACTCACCGCTGTCCTCAGCTCGATTCTTCCCCCAGGAGCCTGATCATGTTTCTTAGGTAATAATAGCCCCAAGGGGAGCTAAAACTTGATTCCCAGTCTGAGAGAGTTCTTCCTCCTGTTCCTCCCAGAATCCAAGTGCCAAATCAGACGAGCTCCTCTTAAAGATCATCTGCGCATTTGGCTATGTAAAGAAACACACACGTATTTGTATTTCGCTGGTGTCAGGCCGAAAACTTGGCACCATCCCCCGCTCCTCCACTCCCTCACCATACGATTCCAGTCAGCCCCCAATTCCTCTATCGCAGTGCTTTGCTTCACTTCTCCTTTTCTCCCCAACTGCCCACAGTGACGAAAAGCCCTCATGGTTCTGGCATTTCAGTGTCCCCTTCAGTCCCTCCAAGCTCTCACGATGAGGGCCCCTGTCATACAGTCCTAGTTGCTGCTCAAAGACCATCCATGGCTCCCATGGCCAAAAGGCAAGGCCCACGCTGGAGTCTGGCCTGCAGGGCCTTCGGCTTCACAGCCCGGCCGGCTCCCCGCACCAGCCCCTGGCTCCAGTCCCACTGGTCCTCATGACCGGCACCTTCCCACTTCTAAGCCCTCATCTACTCCTTTCCTAACCCTCAAGTGCTGTTCCCATTCTTCTTACCCAAATCCTGGTGGCCCTTCAAGGTCAAGTTCATGCCCTCCCTTCATTATGGATTGTTCAGGTGACTCCAACTCTTCAAGGATGGGCTTGGCAAGAGGCAGTGTGTGTCTAGCAAGGTCAATGAAATCGGAATACTCATGACCGCAAGCCAACTGCTCAGAATCATCTGGGTCCCCCCGCCCCTGTACCTGCACCTTGCTCTTGTCTTCACTAACTGGTGACTTCGTCTGGGTCACCCCGACTTAGCCTTCCAGCTCTCCCAGGGAGCAACAATCAGTGCCCTTCCCTCTGAACACCTGCTTCTGTGCAGCCCCATGTGACTGCTTTCTTCCTCCCCCAAATCTCCTCCCCAGACCTGTCTCACCACCCCACCACACCACCATCGGGGGACAGCACTCTCTAGACACCACTGCCCTCACTGTCTGGGAGAGGACTCAGTGCACCCCGCAGACCCCTGTGTGGTTTTTGATCTTTCTGTCTAGTTCCCGATGAGACTTTGAGCACTTTCTTGACAGGACCAATTCACCTGTGATTCCAGAACGGGGTGGGGACAGAGGACACATACACATAATGCCAGGAAAGGCAAAGGTGAAAACTGTCCACGATACACTTTCCCTGTAAAAAAATACGCTGAAGCGGCTTTACTTCCTTAACACTCAGAAACACAAAGTTATCTTTCCACTCACAATCCCGGACTATAAACAGCAGCATGTGCACAGAGGGCATAGAGATTAACTCACAACGGCATTATAGGAAACAGCGGGTGAGGCGGGGAGGGTGCAGCTGAGTGCCCATTTTCCACACTCGGGGGTGAGACAGCGGGGCCTCAGATGCAGATGTGAGAAGCAGATGTGAAGCAGAGCTGTGGGGGGCCTCGGCAGCCTCACACGAGACCTCCGGACGTCAGCGTGAACCCCAACTCTTCCCCGCAAGCTTCCCGTTTGCTGGCCCCCATTAAATGTCACCCACATTACTCACAGCACAGTTACTGTTGATCTTTCTATTCTGCTGTTCCCTTTCCACGCATTGTTCAGAAATATACGCTGATGCCACATTTCGTGTGCATTTAAATAAAGCATGCCAAAGAGGAGACGTGCCCAGTGGTCTCCGAGTCACGCCTCGCAGAAGCCAGGTCATAATTCTATTTTCTAACTAGGATTTTATTTTAGAACTTTTTAAATATTGCCATAACTAAGAAGAAAAGTCTGTAGGATGGCAGGGGATGTTGGAGCAGGGTTAAACTAATAGACCACTGGGACATGTTAGAGTCTCAAAACAGATCCATCATAAATGGAAATTTAATATACGATAAGGGAGGGTGAAGCAGCTTTAAAACATGTCTACAAATTATTGGACATTTCTCCCATCGAGAAGTGGGGTTTATGTCCCTGCTGTTTTAATCTGGGTGGACATGTGACTGTCCACCAATGGAAGTGACACAGGTGACTTCGAAGGTGAGGTCACAAAAGGCCGTGCAGTTTCTTCCCTGTTCTGTTGCAACACTTGCTCTTGGTGTCCTGAGCTTTCAGGAACAATTCAGACCACTCGGAGGCCTCCATACTGTGAGGAAGCCCAAGCCACACAGATGCCAAGTTAGGAGCTCCAAGGACTGCTCCCAGCTGACCCCAACATTTTTTTTTTTTTTTTTTTTTTTTAGATGGAGTTTCACTCTTGTTACCCAGGGTGGAGTGCAATGGTGCGACCTCAGCCCACCGCTACCTCTGCCTCCTCGGCTCAAGCAATTCTCCTGCCTCAGCCTCCCGAGGAGCTGGGACTACAGGCACGCGCCACCATGCCCAGCTAATTTTTGTATTTTTAGTAGAGAGAGGGTTTCACCATGTTGACCAGGATGGTCTTGATCTCTTGGCCTCGTGATCCACCCGCCTCGGCCTCCCAAACTGCTGGGATTATAGATGTGAGCCACGGCACCCAGCCCAACTTTTGAATCATTCCAGCCCAGGTACCTAAACATGTCAGTGAAAAGCCCTTAGATGATGCCAGTCCCCCACTGTTCACATCACCCCAGCCACTCCAGTTTTCCCAGCTGAGGCCCCAGCCATGGTAGAGCAGAGCCAGACTTTCCCCATTCTGCCCAAATTCCCCACGGAGTTTATCAGCAGAATCAAGTTGTGATTGTTCTATGCCATTAAGTCGGGGGGTCATATGTTCTGCAGCAATAGATGACCAGAGCAGTGGATGTTTCTGATCACTGAGCAAATGCCAACTTTGCAAAACAAGGTAGAAAGACTTAGAAATTGTTTTTAAAATAACTTAAATTATTACAAATATTATCTAGTCTATATACATTATAAAGTACAATATTATTGTAAATGTTTTAAATTATAATTTTAAAATATATAAAAATAAATTTTAATTGGATTCATAAGGTAAATATTTTAATTGTAAAATCATTAAAATAAAATCTATAAGAAGCATTTTTTAAATCTAGGGAAAGAAAACTGCTTTATAAGTGTTACAACTCGCCCTTCTCTACCAAAAAATAAAAACACCCAGATGAAATAAGAAAAAGATTGACAAGTTTGGCCACATAAATATAAAAATTTTATGACAAAAGGCACCATGAACAAAGTTTAAAGCTAACAGACATGCAGCATGTATAACCTCTAAAGTATGGAAGAGCACCTACACATTCAAAAGAAAACAAAAGAATGGATTTGAACCAGTTATTTACAAAGGAGGAAATTTAATTAACAGGTAAACATATAAAAAAAGATGTCAAACTTTATTAGCAATGATGCACATCCTATCAAAAACAACATTCAAAAAAACCAAAAATAGTATATTTTACTGATTATATTGCTGAAACGTGATACTGATAAGAATATATTAAAAATGTATTCATATGATTGATAGGAGTATAAATTGTGGTAGTCTTTTCAAAGGACAACATTAAATCTATCAAAATTTTAATCTTCACATTTTTTTACCTAGAGAGAAATTTCTAGTTGTCTATGTCATAGTAATATTCCCATATGTCCATATGTGCAGAAAAACATAGGTAAAACAACGGTAACTGCCACCATGTAAAAGCAACCAACTAAAGTGAACCTGAATACTTATCAATAAGTGATTGTCCAAATAAACTTCAAGCAGACATACTGTGGATTACTATGCATCATTTTAAAATAATGAAGTAAATGTGCACATACATATTTAGAGGTTAAGAAAAACACCTGGGAGAGTTGCCCTGAATTGTCCATAGGGATTGTTTATGGGAGAGAGCAGGTCCGGTAATCATAATTTGAGGAAGCATTTCCCTTTTGCTCTATGCTCTTCTGCACTGTTTCTTCATTTACATGTATGACAGCGTGTTCATGAATTATCTGTGCAAGGGTTATCAGTTAGAGGCTTTTAAGTTTAGCCACAAGAACCCTGAAGTCTTCTTTCTGAGAGTCCATGATCCGTAATCAGGGGTCCTCTGGAGCCCAGACCCACCTATGCCGAATGCTTGCCCGCAGCCAGGTTTCTCCGTGCTTCACGAAGCTAAGCTTCAGGCCCCTCACTGACCTAGGCCCTGACAGATATTCATTTTATACCTAATCTTGTATTTAAAATTTCATATTTTCTTATTAAAAACTGAGCCTAAACGTACCTAAGTTTCAGGACCTGCAATTCTGCTCCTGCCCCCAAAATCACCCATGCTGGGGGAACAGACCCTTTCTAGAGCAGAACAGCAAAATCTCCAGTTAAGGCCTTTTGCGGTGCCTCCCTACAGCCCGAGTAGCATATGAGATGTTAGGGAACAAAAGGGAAAACCAAAAACCAATCCCCAGAAAAGAAGAACTACCAATAAGTAGACATGAATTCAGCGTGACCCCAAAGAGTCCTTCTTCGCAGGACGCTAAGAAGCTGGGACAATTGTACAGGAAACACCTTTTATCTGGGATCAGACTGTCCACAGATAAATGTGAAATATGAAGAAAGTAAAGGTAGCCCCTCTGAAATTAGTAGCATAAATAAGTAAAAACCCTATTCTTTAGAAGGGGAAATGAAAGCCCATGGAAACCCACAGGGATCTAGAAGAAAATCAGATGTGTCTGAGGAACGAATTGTACTCTCCAGTCTCAATGGCAGGCCCACCTCACTATAGAGACAGGAGACAAGTGTACAAGTGCCTGAAGTTAGTAAGCATTCAAAACAAACAACCTGCTCCCTGGCTGTGATTCCGCACTCACTAGGCAACCGAAGCAGTCTGCCAGGTACACTTTCCCAAACAGAGTAGGGAAGCCAGGGGACTCAGTGCTCCAGACCCTCTGACAGATGGATTTCTCCTTATTAAGAAGAGTGACAACAGCAAGGTATCAGAATAACAGGTCTCGGTCCTTGTCTCCTCAAAGAAACACAGATTTAACAAGCATCCATGGATGAAATATTTTTAGGAGAGATCCAGAATCCCATTGAAAGCTCCCAGCACCCTAATGAGCCACTAAACACAAGAACAGTCCCATTGGAAAGAGTGAGAAGAGTAGCTTCGTTTCACCCACATCACCCCTTCCCCAAGCTGGCACAGC